GAACAAGAAATGGCTGAACTGCTTAGAAGAGTCGAGCGTGCAAGTGAAATGGTAGGTCTTTCCATTAATAGGACGAAAACTAAAGTCATGGTAGTAGATCGAACTGGAACTTTTGCACGAACCGGAAAACTCGCAGACCTGGAGTTCGTAAATGAATTTGTGTACCTGGGATCACTTATAAGCAATCAGGGAGGCTGTGGCAAAGAAATTCGGAGACGTATGCAGATGGCCAAAGCAGCTATGAGTAAGTTAACCAGAATATAGCAAAACAGGAAAGTGTCGAATACCACCACGACCAGACTCGTACGAGCTTTGGTATTTTCAATATTTCTGTACGGTGCCGAATCATGGGCCATCCGAACAGCTGACCGAAAGAAGATCGAGACTTTCAAAATGTGGTGTTATAGAAGAATGTTGCATATACCGTGGACAACAAAAAGAACCAACAAGTCTATTCTCGACCAACTAAAGATTACTACTAGACTATCCACTATATGCTACCAACGACTCTTAAGTTATTTTGGTCATATTGACCGGAGACAACCAGACAATCTGGATAAATTGGTTGTAGTAGGGAAAATCGAAGGAAAAAGATCACGTGGGCGATTACCTACCCGCTGGTCCGACATGATTCAAAATATAACGGGACATAACTCCGACTGCCCTGAGACAAGCCGAGGACAGAGTGGTATGGAGGAAGCTAGTCGACACATCGGTGAAAGCATTTCAGGTCAAGCACGACTAAGAAGAAGTCATAAAATCAGCTGGCAATAAGGTTAATATTGTCGGGACGCCGAACTCGTTACGTATTTGTATCTAGCTCGGTGCGTAATAACGCCTACTCACTCTACCCTTCCCTTTCACACACGCGCTACCGCCGCCCAGCTGGCTCGTGTCGCCTCGCGCTGTGGAATTTACACATGTCAGCTTTGCCAACATGTGGGGAATTCCCAAAATTGTGGGGTATTTAAAGTTGGTCGAGGATTGGTATTATGCGGGGAAAATACGGGAATTTTGAAAATGGATAGCCAGGGCCAAGTCAGAATCTTGATTTAAAGAAATTCCCATAATACTTTGCCACACCTACACCTTAAGGTGTATGCTAGGGTTAAGCTAGCTGTTACAATAGGCCCATTCCTTGGAGTTAATGTGTGTTTAGAGACACGTTAATGAGTACTGACGTTCATTTAATCCCGAGCTTGCCATGTAATAAATGCAACAAGCAAACTGTTGCATACGATACATTGTTTCTCATTTAGATAAATCCCTGCTTTGGGAAATAATAAAAGGAGCAATTCAATGTTCGTTTTTACTCCCGCAAGTGTATTATACTAGCCATTTTTTAAATATATACTATAGTTTTAAATATATACTATCGTCTAGTGGTCGTAAATACGGCTGCTGATTATGAGATTCCGGGTTTGAATTCCGGGTCAAGTCAAAAATTAAAAGTTATTGAGGTTTTCTGTCAAAAACTTCTCAGTAGCAACACGGAGTCAGGAATTCGGTGGTGTTTCAACCGTGTGTCTCGTAAAGAAGGTTAAGCCGTCGGTCCTGCACCTGATCTCTCTTAGGTCGTGTCGGATTACCGACCCATCGGACTATGAGGGTAAAGGAATAAATAAAAGAGTAGATTACACCTGTCCTTAACCACTATAATCCCGTCCTACGCAGATCGTTTGTCACCATTAAGACCGCCATGACCGAAATACGGTTAGGAAGACATTACTATCTGTTTACTAAGAAGTTCTTAACTTATACTTTAGATAATGTTAGGTGTTAGCGTAAATAAGAATGTTTCGTTTGATAGTCATTTATTTCTTAACTTATAACGACGTATTAAATCAACTAGATATTTTTACGGACTGACTTAAGTTACTGATTACATTTTTTAATTTGACATAAAAAATTCTCACACACACTAATGCTGCAACATTACACAGTGTGCTCACTTGATGTGTGCATGTGTGACTATATTTTGTCCCTACATGTAAAAGCGGAAGTTTCCATCTATCGGTGTGGCGGCGCTGTCGTCACGCTACAAGCGAAGCCTAAATCACGCTATTAAAGTTTCGAAGTACTGCGGTATACTGGTACTCGTATATAGAACAGCTCTATTAACACATAAAGCATTGGCCGCTTCTTGAGCTGAACACCTCTTCCGGCGGGAGATCTCTTTTTCCTTTTTTCCTTTCACGTTCACGGCTAAATTGGTGACGTGATGTGAACGTGCGCAACACGCTACACGCAAACTTCGGAAAACCTTCAAGCATTTGTCAACGTCCTCAAGTACCATCAATATTAATTCCTGAGCTGTTTGATTTTGATTAATAATGTGTCAAGCCTAAGTTTATGGTATCATGGCTTTAATGAATGAATTAATTAATGAATGTGAAATGGTGGCGACCATGGTAACGGCGGGGTAGGGTGTTCTAAGAATCTCCGGTGGAGGTTCGGTTGCCACCTAAGACAACTTGACCTGGCAACATATAACGTACGCACCCTGAGAACTGACGAGAAGATCCTGGAGCTGGAAGAAGAGATAGACAAGTTGCGCTGGAATATTTTAGGATTATCTGAGGTCTGAAGAGAGGGGGAGGATATAGTAATCCTCGAATGCGGCAACTTGTTTTATCACCGAGAGGGCGACCATCTGTCCCAAGGAAGTGTTGGATTTATCGTCCACAAGTCTCTCGTTAACAACGTTGTAAAGATTGGGATTGTGTTGCGTACAAGGGTTGCGTACCTTGTACTCAGAATCACCAAAGGGTATTCGCTGAAGGTCATACAGGTTTACGCACCAACCTCGGCACATCCCGATGAGGAGGTGGAGGAAATGTATGAGGAAATATCTAGAGCCATGCATTCCTGCAAAACCCACTACACGGTGTTAATGGGAGACTTCAACTCAAAACAAGGCACAAGGGTGAACGGTGAGCTGAACGTAGGGAAATTTGGAATAGGGCAACGGAAACCAAGGGGCCAGCAGCTACCTTTCCATCCTCCTCGTGCTCTAATACAAAGTCCCGAAACCATTCAGCTCGAGCTACAAAACCGTTTTCAGTGCCTAGAAGAATGAAATGCAGTGGACGATATGAATGACAAGTTCGTGGAAACTGTCCATGCGGTCGGAGATAAGTTTTGCAAGACCCGCCGCAGAAGAACACAAAACTCTCCGATCATACTCTTAATCTCCTGGCTGTTAGACGGGAAATGAAATTGCAGTCTTTAGTAGATTTGACAGCATACAGGCAATTGAACAGACAGATCTCCAAATGCATCCGGCGGGACTTACGCAACTTTAATACTACTCGTATTGAAGAAGCGATCGAACGGAATCAGGGCTCCAAAGTCTTTGCTAGAGATCGGTCTGCCAGAAATAGCCAACAGTCGAAGCTGAAGACCGAGTGTGGCAGCGTCGTTTCCGGGACACCCGAGATTTTGAGTGAGATTGAGAGTTTTTATGGGCAGCTGTTCACATCATCGTTGGAGCCACACGCAAGTGTGAGTCCAATGATGAGCATCCAAGAGCAAGTCTTATCCGACACTATTCCGATAATATTCCGGACGTCAGGCTGAGCGATATTAAAATGGCTCTCTAGCACCTTAAAAACGGCCAGACCCCAGGCGAGGATGGAATTACTGCGGAGCTTCTAAAAGCAGGTGGAAAACCGGTTAAATATTTGTGATGTATAATTAATATAATCAGGCGTTACTTTGCGGAAATCCATTATATAAAAGCTTTTAGAAAAATTTACTTCGCAAATATCCGCGTTATAAAATAAAATGATGTGTCTTACCTAGTATGAAGAGAACCTCCCGCCCTCTCTCAATTGCGTGCACTATCCCCGTCACCACTAATCCCAGCACCGCTACTCCCAACACCACTACACTAGGCAAGACACACCACTGACGACAATACGACACGTGTTTCGCCTCTACACGAGGCATCCTCAGGTGATATAGACTCTACGGTGGCTAACCGCTAAGTGAGCAGCGAGCCAAAACAAGTGCCTATTATACACACCGATGACACAACCGCTCTCTACTTAAGGAGCGAGCGACTGCGTCATGCGATAAAACATGCGACCAATCACCGCTGGACGTACGCAGGCGTTTGTAAAATTAAAAACAAACCGCCGCGCAACGCCCTCCTACTCTCCAATCACGCAACCAATCGCCGATCACCGTGAGGGTGACAAACGACCATATTGCGAGGCTCTCTATTATAAGAGAGCAGGCTTAAAGATATTTAAGAGAGGTGAGTTAGTAACAGTAGTAACTGTTCCAGCACACACAGCCGCAGCCCTTTGTTACACGTATGTAAGACTTTAAAGGAGTGGTCGTTGGCTAGGTTGTGTCCAGGGTCCAAAAGATGTTTGGCAAAATGGGATTTATCAGGAATAAATTATAATAAATTTCCGCCGCGATGCCACAACGCGTGTTGGCAAACTTCGCATGTCTTCGAAATATATTTTTTTCTTATTTCTCAGACATGCAGGTTTCCTCAGTATGTTTTCCTTCACCGCTGAGAACGTGGTAAATCAGTACTTAAAATTGCAATTAACAATTTCATTGTTGTCGGCGGGGATCGAACCCGGGTTGCTCGCGTACTGTGAAATTTTAAGCTGAGCTACCACGACTGAACGGCACGCTTAATTACAATACTGCTAGTTTATTATTTTTTATTTTTTTATTTAAAAAAAAAAACGTTACCCCCACACTAGGATTTTCTCCTGTATCGTAGAGGCAGTTTACAAACATATATTGCACAAGGACAAACATCCAGACCCGGAACAATTATTTGTAGGCCGTACAAATACTCGTTCCGTGCGGGATTCGAACCCACAGCCCCAAGCGTTGCAACTCATTGCTAAGCCACTACGCCAGGGAGCCGGTAAATTAAGTTAAAATTATTTTTAGTGTTTTTCAATTGTCTTGTCGCGGCTATAGTAAAAGGTCCATTTCTAAACATTCATAATTTATTTACAATTTATTGTTTATATATTTGATTCATCAATTTCCACATCTTCGTCGAAATCACACTTTATTCGCCATTCCTTCACGTCAAGAGTATACGATGCAGTGAGTTCCCTAAATTTGTCTACATCACACAGTTCTGAATCGCAACCTTCTACTTGTAAGTATTGTATCGGTTCTCCAGGTGAACTGACGTATACTGGCTGAAAATTGAACATCACATTAGGGTATCTTTGAAGGAGTAACTAATTATCCGTAGCCTGGACGAATCAGTGAAAGAATATAAGGAAGAACTGGGTAACGAAGAAGAAGGACGTAACCTAACATGAAATTGTAAGTCTTGTTTTTATAATACTGAAGTGTCGCCTTTAAAACTGAAGTTCTTATATCGAGCTAATAGTTAAAAAAAAGCACACAATATTAAAAAAAGAGGTATTAAAAACTACAACTGCAAATAGTTGTAAGACAGGGTGGCGTTATATCCCCGAAACTCTTCACTGCTGTATTGGAAGACGTTTTAAAAAAAAACTGTGATAAAGAAAAACTAAAACTAAATATTCAAATTGTCATAGAGTCCTACTCCTCGTGATATCGTGAAAAGAACGCTGGCTGCGGTTCCTCGCTAAATGGCTACACTTAGCTTTTGGGCGAGAAAATAATCAGTCCTCTTATCACCAGCAGCGACGATCAGTCGCGGATACAATTCATACTATGTTTAGATACTTTATTGTACGCCAAAAAATTACATAAATGTTACAAAAGTGTGAAAAAGAAATGTGGTACAATGGGCGGTCTTATCGCTAAGAGCGATTTCTTCCAGACAACCTTCGGATGGACAAGATTGCAAGAAAACAATAAAAACGTGTGTGGTTTGGCGACATAAATAACATTATTTTTATTAAAGCCATAAAATGGAAATATAGAATGGTGTATAAGTACATAGATAAGATAAATACATACATACATATTAATATATATGTATATATATAAACATATATATTATAAATATAAATATATAAAAGTACAAATATATACTTTAAAACTATTACATATAACATAAATGTGCCATACATATAAACAAATATTGTAACTAAATAAAGGTAGAATTATTATATACAAATGAACTCGATAGAATCAAAGTTGAAACAAGTAATCATGTACATGTTTCTTAAAAACCGGTGGGGACGCTCCCAACGTCTTGCTGATAACGGTAAGTCATTCCATAATCGGACAGCTTGGATTGTGAATGATCTGTCCAAATTTGGTAGTATGAGCTGGCATTTTTAATATCAAATTTTCTGATGATATCAAATGTCTCAAATGTGAGTCATGGAGGAATTGAAACCGATTTTTAGGTAAGAAGGATAGAAAGGATTAAAAAGAATAAATAAATAAATAATATTAAACTTTTTCTAAAAATATTTTTTTATAGGATATGGGTGACGAATGAGCACATGTAGACCCACGCCCATAGACATATATATATATATATATATATATATATATATATATATATATATATATATATATATATATATATATATATATATATCCTCGATTACGAATCAAAATGCAAATGCGTTGTCAGCCGTGAGTACTAAGATGGAATGCCTCCTCCCCAGTAACAAGGGTCTCCGGTTCTCTGCACTGACCATACGAAACACAGTAGCGTTAAGCTGCTATTTTACGGTGGTATTCTGTGAGAGCGTGGTCCTTCCCCGGTCGAGTCGACCTATTCGAGCTATAACTATACTGCTTATATAGCTGCGGCATGGCTCTGCCACGTATAGCCATGCTGTTGCTATATAACCTATTTGAAAGAGCTAAAAAGAATAAAGTAATTTCCACATAATACCTTCTAAGGTCGGGGCATTAATTTACATTATCGATACACTATGTTGTGTTAATTTTTTTTAAATAAATAACTTTAAATCAAAAACCTAACCATAATATAAGTGCAATAAAGGAACGTACCAAAACAACAAATTGCCCAGTTTTAACAACTCTCCTTAATTCCAGAGCAAAAACCGCATTGTACGGCGGTACTCCTTGCTTCGGTCTCACTCGAGACACTGCCATCCAGGAATAGACGCTAACGTCATGAGCTGAGTAGATCCTCAGCCTCTGCGTATCATTTCCAGCTAAGACAATTGAGGTCTGATCGAAAAAATCCTTGAGGAATGGACCTGTAATTTTTTATCAAGTAACAAAAGCTTATAGTAAACTAGCGACCGGCCTCGGCTTTTTAGGATTATTAATGTGGCGTTGCTTAGATCTAAGATCATCAAAGATCATTTATTTTATAAATGGCCATCGTTATGTTAACCCGCCTCTACATGGATGGACCGATGAATAAATCGATCCATCCATTAAATACATAAAACCCCGATGTTTAATATATGCCTCCCCATAGATTGCGTTAATGGGTAATAAATAAACTACAGGTTTGTAATTTTTAGTTTTTTATAATTTTGAGTTAAAACAAAAATGCTGCTGCTCTTGTTTTTTTATAGAATAAGTATGACAAACGAGCGTACAGTCCACCTGAAGGTAAGTGGATGCTATGGCCTATAGACATCTACATTTATCCTCAAATAAGAATGAAAATGTAGATGCGTTGTCACCTCTCAGGACTAAACAGTAATGCCCCGTTTCTAGTAAAAATGGTCTTCAGTTCTCTACACTCCCCATACGAAACGCAAGAGCATTAAGCTGCTATTTTACGCTGTTATTTTGTGAGAGCGTGGTCCTTCCCCGTTCGAGCCAATCTATTCGTGCTTCAACCATAATATAGCTGCAGCATGGTTTTACTATCGCTTCTTACGACAGCCACGGAACGATATAGGGTTGTTGATCTATTTACACCGCCACTACACGTACATTATTATATAGTATAAATAATTACCAGTTTGCAAAGCAATAATAATATAGCTGCAGCATGGTTTTACTATGTAATACTCCTGTTTCAGTTTTCCTCTATCGCTTCTTACGACAGCCACGGAACGATATAGGGTAGTTGATCTTCTTACACCGCCACTACACGTACATTATTATATAGTATAAATAATTACCAGCTTGCAAAGCAATATAGTTATCGTCTCCAAATAACAAATCGATTGCTTCTCCTGCTGCTGCTTTTATTTCCGGTAAAGCCTCTTGTAATTTGGGTTTTAGGGGAAGACCCAAGCTTATCTGTGAACACATTTACAATTACGTAGATGAGACCATCATTAACAAATTCATTCATCTATCAACGTCTCCATCCATCCTATATTAGTCCACTGCTTAACATATGAATCCCATAGATTGTCTCACAGAGTGTATTTTGCCAGAGTTGCAACACTTGGCAGCCGTTGTTTTCGACAGTTTTTTTTATTATTTTTATTTGTCATGAGGAAGATGCTTCTGCCCATCCCTTAATCAGTTTCCCTCTGTCGCCTCTCTGTATAGGTTTATCTATGGTCGTCTCCTACAATACTCATGGAACAATATGGGGTATTGGATATTCTTACATTGCCACTGCATGGTATTAATAAATTACTACATATTATACAAATATTACTCATTATAAAAATTTACCAAACCCTCGAAAAAAAGGAGCCGATGATCTTCAAATGGCGGAATATCTTTTCTTGAAACAGCTAAGAACAATCCTGATTAAGGCACCTTTTAAACGAAAATAACTTATTCAAAATCGGTTCATCCGTTCAGGATGTATCCGATCAGGATGTATGATGCTAAAAACAGACACAAAGATATACATAAACACACTACTAACTTATAATACCTCTTTGTTTTCATCCTGTTCTACATTGAGTAGTCTTAAAAATTGGTCCATTTTATTAGATTATTTGACTATAAAAACTATGACGGTACTATACAATTTACAAAGGAATGTTTGTTTGCGCTGTTAAAGTTCTAAAAACTGGAGACACGTATTGACACTACAATATTCTTACTGCCAGGGACCCATTTTAGTAGTAACGAGACATTCCATCTTAGTCCTCAGAGGTAAAAACGCACGTGCATTATGATACTTAGTCAAGAGTAGATGTTGAAGCGATATCTCTATGAGCCTCTGCATCCACTTCATCATCATGCACTGTCTGCACGCTTGTTACCCGTATTCTATATAAAAATTCAAGTGACTAAAGTGTCGTGATATCAAATCCTTTTCAATACTTAAATTATGTTGATATAACAGACGCGGGATTAAAGGTTAAGGAGATAGATATTTTTCATTCGTTTTATCAGTCATTCGAAAAAAAAACTATTTTTCCCGGAAAACTAGCCTAGATTACTCCTTCATTCATTTCTTCCTTTGTTGTTCTCTATCTAGTCGTTAGTTTCATCGCAATTAGTTTAGACATTCGGAAGATTAGTCAGACAGATAGACAGACAAAAATTTATTAAATTCATGTCTTAATGTCGTTTAAACAACCTTCTGAGCTTAGAAGCTTTTTTGATATTACAGACAGGACACTTCAATTTTATTTATATGAATAGATAGATAAGCTGGAATGGTAATGATTGGATATGTTTTTTTTTCAGAACATTCTTATATTTTACTAGCTACCCACCCCGACTCCACCTGTGTAAGAGATATTATTGTAGCGTTATCTAGATTTTAGATTATAAAATTGATTACCTGACTGCAATATAAATCATAAGTCATGTAAGTGAGGAGTGGTTCTTGCTTCAGCGCAGATGCATATTGTCCAAACTGTTCAAACGAATCGTGGTACTGTTCCATTTTAGGGGAATTTGAACCATTCATTTTGGCCATGGTCAGCGTGGGGCAGTTTAACACGGCCAGGTTCTGAAAGAAAATACCATGGACTTTAAAAATACGTACGTAATGTCACACTGAAAATTTGAGAAGCACTCTAGGTCCTACAATTTTGCACACACATACGTAGGGTATTTGGGTGGTATTATTATGTTATTATTTATATTATTTTTATATAATTTTATTATATATCACCCGCCTGCAGGCCTAGCACCTATGTCGAAATCTCGCCATATGAGGCTCCTCACATGAGTCAATCAATAGAGGGGGGAGGGCGGGCTTTGTTAAACAGTGGACTTTTGATATTGCCTTCAGAAGGAATTTCTAAGTGAGATAATTTAAATAATTTTTTAAACAAAAACATTAACTTAGTAACTTTCTGCTCTCTTTCCGATTCTATTAATTATTATATTTCTGCTCTCCGATCGCGTTATAATTCAGTGTTTTTTTTTTGTGCGAGCAGCTATACAGGTCTAATTGTTGTGGTTGTGATCGCTGCTATCGGCTATAATTTACTGTTAAGCCTATCTATATCTTCAATGAATTGAAAGATTTGCTTGGCTGTGAGCATTTTCACTGCTTCTGGGCTAAATACGTAGTTTCACCGATGAATGTTATGTTTGTGCATTAAGAGACCGCAATCAGGGTGTGCAGAGGTGTTTCTACCGATAAGGAACAGAATCAGCACATCCGTGAATTGCTGTAAGTTGCCCACATTACTTGCATGACCCAGAACCTATCTCAAAACGACCGTGTTATTACACCTCAGGGCATTTAAACGGTTCACCCAGTCTCCCAATAACTTTGAGGTCACTAAATTTTATTTCGGAGCTGCTTACTTCAAGATCAACTTAGTGCTGCTTGACTGTCAGCATTTATATAAAAGGTATGGTTGACGTAGTATTTTTGCAGATTCATTTGCGCACTACATCGTATGGCGTTGATTTCTTTTAGAAAGATAGAGGCGAATTTCTCTAAATTCATACTAAGCTTGAATTTGGGGCGTTCCTTGTAAACGCCAATGGCTACGTCAAGGCCCATTTTTGAACAATCGGTAAACTATATAAAGCTACTGACCTCACAGATGACCTGACCATTCAGCTAGTCTTCTCTGAATTGAAGTTTCACTATATGCATTTTATTAAAATTGTATATATATATATGATATCGGAGATTATGCGTAAAGTCGGTTTTTCCCTCATTGAGTCAAGCAAGGACCTTAACCTGTAGGAAAGCAAGCTCAAACCGTACTGAGCGTTGATCCTATGCAAACTAGTCCTCGCCTCCATGTTTAAATAAATATCAAGGAGTCTTAGGCATAGAAGTGCATTAAAAGCTGCTTCAGGCGAGGTTCGTACCGCTCCAGTCGCCATCCGTCAGGCAGTTCGTTGTAGGCTACTTAACTTGTCTGCAGTCTTTCAGCCTTACTACAAAACACTACATATATAAAAGACGACGTAAAAGATGTAGCTCTTTGTGTATATCTAAACACTGAGGGCACCTTCGATATTAGCCCCACATCACTGCTGGTTAAGGGCTTGACATCTTAAAAATGTTGACCCCACGAACACCAGGTGGGTGCAGTCGATGCTCTCTCAAATAGAAAGAAAAAATATCGCGCGGTTGAGGTTACAGTCACCGCTACATTCGACTCTCGCGGTTGACCAACTATTGTACAAAATGGCAGACCTTCGTATTGACGCACTAGGTTACGCTGATGATCTTGTGGTTATTGCGAGGGGTTTCTTCCTTACGTAAGTACCTTATCATCAATTACACAAAAAGCTATAACCACCACAATTAACTAGTGTAGGGATAACAGTTTCTCAATTTATGCTGATAAAACCCTTTACGAAAAAGTGACGTTAATTAAACCTAAGCTTCATGGTAAAGAAGTACCATTCTCCGCTAAAATTAAGTATTTGGGTGCAATAATCTACCAAAAACTAACGTGGAACTCACAGCTGAGCAACTTATGTTACAAGAATTTTTTATAGGATAGGGTGACAAACGAGCACACAGTCCACCTGATGGTAAGTGGTTGCTGTGACTCATAGATATCTACATCTATCCCCAATAAAGAATCAAAATGCAGATGCGTTGTCACCCGTGAGGACTAAGATCGAATGCCTCTTTTCCAGTAAAAAGGGTCTCCGGTTCTCTACACTCACCATACGAAACACAGCAATGTTAAGCTGTTATTTTACGTTGGTATTCTGTATGAGCGTGGTCTTTCCATGGTCGAGTTGACCCATCCGTGCTACAACTATACTACTAATATAGCTGCAGCATGCTCTACCACGTATCGCTAAAATTGCTCTAGGTACGTGCAACTGTTTATTAGTTTATAAATTTTTCAAAAAAGTCCATATGCTTCGGATGAAATATAGCCTAGATGGCATTGCTCTTTACCTGTTCGTTAAAGCTTCATCACAATCGGTTCATTACGAAGATTAGCCCGGACAAAGAGACGGACAGACAAAACTTTAAATAAATGGTTATTCATGTCTTAATAGCAAACAAATAAACTCACTGAGCTTAAAAGAAGCCAGTTATTAGGTTACGTTTCCACCAGAGATGTGCGATGAACCAATAGAATCACTTCATTTACCTAGCCTCGCTTAGCGCAGCTCTAGTGGAAATGGTTGTGCGGAGCGAGGTTTTTGTACATACAAAACAAGGGAAGAATATGTGCGAGGGATGTGTAGCGAAGGATGTGTTGCGAGGGATGTGTGCGACGGATGTGTGCGAGGTAAGTGTTCTACTACGCTGCGTATCGTTGCACCGCTCAGCGACCTAGCACATCTCTGGTGGAAACGCTCACACCATTCCACAGCCACGCTACGCATCCGTGCATCGCTTAACCACATCGCACATCTCTGGTGGAAACGTAGCCTTATGGCACTACAGACAGACTTTTCCATTTAATATAAATTTACAATAGATAGAATTTATCTATAAACATTGTAAAGATTGATGGCAAAACCTGCATGACGGCTCCATGGCGCAATTGCGATCGCAGGTTCGAATCCCGCACGGAATAAGTATTTGTATGGTCTGCAAATAATTGTTCTGGATCAGGATGTTATACAGGAAGAAAACGCAGTGTAAGGCGTATCGAAAAAAAATAACTTACATAATCATATTTCGCTGGTAAAGTTGTATAAGGCACAGGCACCCAGTTTATATCCTCTATCCATTCTTGACCCTTTGCGGGGTAGACACCAGCCATAGCTGTCAATGCCGTCATTTTAGCACGAGTAGAGTCTGTAGACCGTAAATAGAGTTCGGAGGAGTTGTACTGCGGGGATATAAAACCATCGTATCGACGGCGGATAAATTTACCCATCTCGAAACTTCGGCGTTTTCCGACCTTTAACGAAAATAAAAGCAAAAATTATTTAAAATGACTTTATTATTCTCTAGTTTTGAAGCAGACTTTCTTGTCTTCGAAGCATTTTTTTTTATAAAATAAGAGTGACAAAGGCACACACACTTTCTAATAAAATTCCTTCTCTGCCTGGAAGTCAGTCTGGGTAGATGTTACTCTAATGATTTCTATATTTTACGAATACTACACATGCGTAGATCTGCGTCAATCGGACCAAAACAAAATTATAATTAAAAGTTTAATAACCCTTCGATAACTATGACATCAGAACGCCAAACACCACAGTCACTCCCGTGACCATGAGTGCTGTGAAGTGCTCGAAACTTCGGGAACTACAAAAAGAAAATTAGATGCGATGAAATACGTAAAATTAGTTTTCTGCCAGGTACCACACTCTTATAATTCTGCTGTCAAATAGCAGTTCTCGAACTGCTGTGTTCCGCTCTAAAGTTTATTGAGAGCCAGTATAGTTATAGGCTTTGCGGCATCCCATCTTAATCCTCAGGGGTGACAAAGCATCTGCATTTTAATTCGTAATCGAAGATAGATGTAGATGTCTATGGGCCACAGCAACCACTTACCATCAGATGGACTGTGTGCTAGTTTGTCACCCTTATTCGATAAAAGAATATACTTATAAAAGTGCAAACAAACATACAATCATCCTCCTGGCATAATATATCTCGTGGTCCATGGACGCGTCTGCTCATCCAACCGCGATTAGAAATCAAAATGCAAATGCGTTAGTAACTCCAAGGACTAAGGTAATAACGCGGTATAACAGAAGATATCCGGTTCACGACACCATACGAATAATTTAAAATGAAAAAATTTGTACAACCGACTTCAATATAAATTATTAAGAATAACTCAAAAACTATTGGTCAGACCATAATTTATATGGGATCTCATAAGAAGAGCACCAGCTTTTAAATAAAAAAGAATCATCGAAATCGGTTCACCAAGAAAAAAGTTATGAGGTACACACTTAAAAAAAACATAAACAAAAAAGAACATACAGTCGAATTGAGTACCTCCTCCTTTTTGAAGTCGATAAAAAAAACAGTAACATTTAGCTACTATTTTACGCTGATATTCTGTGGATCTTCCCCGGTCGAGTCGACCCATTTGTGCGACAACCATAATGTAGCAGCAGCATCGCTCTACCGCGTAAAAATTAAAAGTAGATTGCACCCTCAAGTACAGTACCATAGTTTTCCTCACCATATTTTCCTTCATACACATGAAAAATTAGCGCGGTAGATGATTAACGTGCTTCTCTCAAAGAGAATTTTGGTAGAAAACTACGTAGTATAAATTTAAAATTGCATAATTCTTACATTTGTTAGTTGTCCATATCCATAAGGGCGTATTAGTTCTTCTAAAGCATCTGGATCATCACTTAATCCCATCGTGGATATAACTGGGGTCCTGTCTCCATGTCTATGGATCTGTGAAATATCGATTAAAATTATAAACATTCAATAGTTATTGAGCATTGAACACTTATCATTTGACATATTTTTAGTGTTATCAAACCCATAAAGTTCTTCTAAAGCATCTGGATCGTCGCTGAATCTCATCGTGGATTTAAATGGGGTCCTGACTACATACCTATGAACCTATGAAATATCGATTAAAGAAATCTGTAAATATACAGAAGCAATTGGGTATTTGATACTTTAGTCAAATACGGAGGGGCACACTGAAATGATCGGGAATAGAATATTTCAGATTGAGTTACAATAAAACCTTTTTTAGAATTTGAATACTGGCCTCTTAGAATCTTAATGTCATTCAAACAATTAAAAAAAATGTTTAAAAACAAAAACTATGTTGGTTTAAAGTTGGCACGTCGTTAACAGAAATGGAGTTCACGCGTGAACATTTCCGTGCCATAATTTATCACAATTTTCGTCGCGGCTTATTTCAAGATAAATGTCTCAGCGAACTTGTTTCGATTTATGATGTTGAAGCACCGAGTCCAACGACAATATACCGCTGGTATGCCGAGTTCCGACGCGGTCGTGTGTCGTTAAGCACTGTTACCTCTGCAGGTCGACCAAGAACAGCGGTCACGCCTGAAAACATCGCAGCTGTGCGAACTATTATATTAGATAATCGTCATGTGACGAGCAGATTCGGGCAGTTATCAGTATGGGAATGACTGCAATTCAGTCGATATTACATAATGAGGGTTCCGCATAATTTGTCCGAAAAGCAAAAGGCGGCTCGTGTAGATTGGCCGGAATAGTCTGCAACGCTTCAACGGAGGGAAATCAAATGCCGTTTATAATATCGTCTCAGTTGACGAATCATGGATTTATTCATACGAACCTGAAAGAAAACATCAGTCAGCAGTTTGGGTCTTTGAAGACGAGGTCAAACCAACGAAAGTGGTTCGCTCCCGCAGCGTGTCAAAGAAAATGGTCGCTACGTTTGTCTCGAATAAGGGGCATGTTCCTACAATTCCTTTATAGAAACGCAGAACGGTTACCGATGAGTGGAACATCACGATTTGTTTGCCAGAAATGATAGCCGAACTCCGAAAAAATAAGCCGAAACGTCGCATCATCTTAAATCACGACAATGCGAGGTCCCATACGGCTCGGCACACAAATGATTTTTTGAAGCAGGAAAACGTTGAGCTGATGAGCCATCCTCCGTACAGTCTTGACCTGAGCTCAAACGATTTCGTTACATTCCCTAGAATGAAAGTTTTATTATGCGGTGAACGGTTTGAAGACCCCGAAGCAGCTGTGGAAGCGTACAAATCAGCCATTTAGTCAACATCAACTTCAGACTGGAATTACTGTTTTAATGATTGGTTTGCACGAATGGAAAAGTGCATTAAATTGAACGGAGAATACTTCGAAAAACAATAAAATACAATTTAGCTATACCGTGCATGTGATTTTTCTTATTTCCGATCATTTCAGCGTGTCCCTCGTAATTTTTAAGATCTTTCATAGCAAACAATTCTATAGAAATTGTACGAGAATATACTATAGTATAAAGACTCCAAAGGAAGCTCAAAGTCACTCAGCATGCTATGGAAATGGCTAATCGGAATTTATCTGCAGGGTATGTCCGATTTGGGAGGCAAACGGGTGGTGGGGCACCATAACGGTCATTGCATAATTTTTTTCGCCGGCCACCCATCCTTCTCTCAGCATGATAACGGAGAAGCTTCTGGCTGCTAACCAGAAGATTTTCTGTGCTTTTGTGGATCTTGAGAAAGCATTTGATAAGGTTGTAAGGAAGAAAATGTGGGAGCTGTTGCCGGGGTATGGTGTGGATGGTCGATTGCTAAGGGCTGTGCAGTCACTTTACTGTGACTATAAAGCCTGTGTACGGATAGGGTATGACCTGTCACCCATGTTTAGCGTCCAAACGGGCGTAAAACAGGGTTGTGTCATGTCTTCCTGGCTGTTCATACTGTATCTCGACAGCTGTTTACAGAAGCTGAAAGATAGCTGTTTGGGTGTGAAATTGGGTGACATTAAAGTAAATTGTCTACTGTATGCTGATGATGCAGTGCTTATTGCACCATCAGAGGCAGAACTGCATGCATTAGTCACGTGTATGAAAGAGGAATGTGAAATTAAAGGTCTCCGTTTGAATGCTAATAAAACTAAGGTTCTGGTATTTGAAAGGGACGAAGAGAGAACGAAGTGTGAAATATGGGTAAATCAGGAAAGTCTAGAACAAGTAAATGAAATTGTATACTTGGGGAATGCTTTTAGCCGGGATGGAAGATGTGATGTAGATGTGGACAGGCGTGTCGCTGTCGGGAACAAAGTCAATGGTGCCCTGACTGCGTTAGTCAAAAGACAAGGCGTAGTGAAGAGTGCACACCTTGCAATTCATAACGCAGTATTGGCAGTGACTTTGTCATATGGTAGCGAAACCTCGGTATGCCAGAAGAAGCATAAAAGTAAGTTGAATGCAGTGGAGATGCGATCTCTTCGTAAAATGTGCGGCGGTACCATGGCCGACCGAAAGCGAAACGAAGAGATTCGCAATATGGCAGGTTTGAACTATGGTTTGGGCACGTTGAGCGAATGAGTGAAGACCGAATGGTGAAGAAAATATATAGCGCGAAAGTTAATATTAAAAGGTGTCGAGGTAGACCGAGACTAACTTTCGAAGACTATGTGAGCAAATTGCTTGAAGAGGGGAGGGTCAAGAGTACTCGAATACTTAGACGTGCATGTATGAAGAAGATAATGAACCTGAAAGAAGCGAAAGAGGTATGTAAGGATCGTGACACTTGGCGATCTCTTCTCTCTGGCTACCTCGTCAGGGATTGTGCGTGAAGATAGATAAGTAAGTAACCCATCCTTACAGTCCCCGCTGGCGCCAAATCAGGTTGTTTGTGTTCACTCGTTGAATTGTTCTTAAGATCAAGACCTTTTAAATTAATTATTGTAACATGTTTATAAAGAATTTAAGAATTTCGTTTATCACTTATATTCTATAAAAAGAAACATTGAATTAAACTAATTTTACGGATTTTATCAAGCAAGTTAAATTAAACGCGTAAAATCCTTAACATCAGTTTTGTAATGGATACAAGTTTCTTTGAATAAACAGGTTTATGTTGCGATAGCAATAATGAGTAATATTGGTTGAATTCACTTACCAAGAAGGTTAATACGAGTTCAGTGCCATTAGTTATTGCTTCATCGGCAGCGCCCGCTTTTACGCAAATGAAAGTCACCACCGCCAACAGAATAGACATCATGATGCTCTCACTTTATGTGCAAAATTTTTTTCTTTAAATTTATATAGCTCGCTGTTATCTGATTAATCAACTACATGCATTGGCATGTGGGCCTTTAATGCTTGTATAATTTATAAGTGATGATAATCGATTTGTACTTCCAAAACACTCGAGACCGCGGTTAACGTAAGAATAAGGATTATATAATATTATATTTGCGACTCGCGCCTGCTTTGCTTGGGTAGAATCTAGTAATAAGGTGTTATTGAGATTTCTGAATGTAATCATCAACGACTATTTATTGGAACGAAGTTCCTTAGCGGACGGTACGGGTTTGGCAGATGGGAGATATATACAAATATTACAGACATTTCATCGTAGTCCACAAAGGTGACCCCGCTTCTATAGACTTATTTGTTTTTGTTTGTGCAAGCTGTGTATACATATATATTAGAATACAATTTTTGTATTTTTTGTTTAATACGAGTAATACCTGTGCGCATGTTGTAATTGTGTTCACTTTTGTATACCAAATAAAGAGAAAATAAAGTTGGCTGCATGTGTCCATGGACTGCAGTATCCATGTCGATTGCAGCTCAGCAATAATTTTTTTTGTAGAATAAGGGTGACAAACGAGCACACTGTTCACCTGATGGTAAGTGACTGTTACAGCCCATAGACATCTTCATCTATTCTCAACTAATTATCAAAATGCAGACGCGTTGTCACCCCTGACGACTTAGATGGAATGCCTCGTTTCCAGTAAAAAGGATCTTCGGTTCTCTACACTCACCATACAAAACGTACCAGCATTGAGTTACTACTTTATGGTGGTATTGTGTGAGAGCGTTGTCATTACCCGGTCGAGCCGACCCATTCGTGTTACATATATACTATAATATGGCTACAGCGTGGCTCTACCATAATATAAATATTTGGAATGCGGGTACTTATTACTAACTTTTATTAGAAACCATACACGATACATTTAATATTTATTATATTTTCGGTTCCAAGTACTTGACAGTTAATTTGAACTGAGTGCTTGTTTGTCTCACTCATTTTGTAAAATTTAACTTTTAATAAAAAGTAAAAAAGCAAAAACATTAATGAATAATATAATTTTTACATATTTTATCAATGGTTTTAACTTTTCCTAAAGATATTGTTACATTCTATATCATCTAAATTTATATTGGACTAGCGTTCAAGTATCATCTATTTAATAAACTAAGAACCATATAAATCGAAGAAAGGATTTTAATATTAGATCAAGTAATGTTCAAGGCGAACCTTGAATAATAGCGGTATGGACTCCCAAAGGAAATTATACAACATTATAATATGCAAGGAATAAGCACAAAGAGGTAAATAATATGGAAGGACTCATTGCTTTCAAATTCACAACAAATCAAAAGTTAAGTTAAAGTAATTTTTCTACCGACTTCAAAAAGGAGACGGTACTCAATTCGACTGTTTTTTTTAATGTGTGTTACCTCATAACTATTTACTGGGTGAACCGATTTCGATTTTTTTATTTGAAAAATTTAATTTTTATGCATATGTCAGAAGTGTTTTGGAATATGCTAGTTCAATATGGTCTCCACAGTACAATGTCTACAAAAGCCGCCTTGAGCGTATTCAAAAAATATTTGTTAATCACCTTAACTTTCGCTGTCGGAATAATATCGATACTTACACAGACAGTTGCACTGTGCACGATCTCTTATCTCTGGAACACAGGCGCATTTTGCTTGACATGGCTTTGTTATATGATATAATAAACAGTAATATTGACTGTCCATATCTTGTCTCAAGAATCACCTTTCGTACTCCAAAATTCCGTACCCGCAATACTACATTGTTACAGACTCCCTGGCATCATTCAAACTACTGTCGAAACACTGTTCTTTCGCGGCTTGCTCGTACATATAATGAACAATTTGGACACATTGACCTCTTTGCGAAATCTAAACTTACGTTTAAAGATTACATCAAGAAAACTATTACGAAATAGAGCAGTTGAAGTTAAATTCACATACAATCATATATTCTCTCATCTATTTCTTCTATATGTATTTTTGAGGCTACTAATATAAATATAAGTACTTAAGTTATTTTATTTAATATATATTATAATTAATTATTTGTATTATGTTTATATATTTAAACATTTAATATGTATATATACATAAGTAAATATATATGTATATATATATATATATATATATATATATTTATATATATATAAAGGTAATCTAATATATCATTCTACCTGACTATCTCTCCTGATCTGTAAACTTATGACCACCTTCATTACATTGAATTGCTTATAATTTTGCTTATAATTTATCTATTAGATTGTTCTTTTTCCTTTTCTTCTAACAACAATACACCTACCATCAAACATATTGGCCATACTTTTAGTTTGTTACATTAATGTTAATATTTTCTATATACGCTGTTGGTTTTCTAAATAAATAAATAAATAAATAAATGAAAGCTGGTGCTTCACATGTGCTTCCATAGAAATTTGATCAAAGTCTGACCAACTGTTTTTGAGTTATTCTTAATAATTTATATTGAAGTCGGTTGTACAAAATTTTAAATTTTAAATTATTTATATAATTTTTTTTTTTATTCAAGTACTTGTGCGTGAATACAGTGACGTTGCTTCCTTATAACGTTTGTATACTTTGTAAAATGTCAATAAAAAATTCACAGATATATTCTCCCGCTAAATCAGTACCCTATGTATCTCATCAGCCTTTCAACTTAATATAATTTGTTGTATAAACAAAAAACAGACAAATATACAAATATACAAATATAACCATTCATATCATATTTTAACCTTACTCCGATCGTGGGGGAACAGACATGGTTTGTAACTAAGTACAATAATAGATAAATAGACATTGAGAAGTTATGATATTTTTTAAAGAATAAGTGTGACAAACGAACAAAGTCCACTCGATGGTAAGTGGACTATGTATATTATACACTTAGATGGGATACTTTTTATCGCCTAAAAACAAAAGATGCCGCGGGAAACTTTACATGAAGGCATTAGAATGGAATACAATAGAATAGAATGAATGAAAATGAAAAAAAATAATTAAAAAATGTTTATTTACGGCTAAGGCGGTACAGATTATAATATACAATATAAGATAATAAAACGGAAGTACAGTAGTCTTAATTCTTTAGTATACATTATAAACTATGATCTTATCACACCAACTAATGTGGAGTGTATAAACAAGTGTGTATAGTTCTGTGGTCCTCACACTAGGCATGACTGTGTCGTGAGGGCCTGATACGATTTTCTTATGGTTTTCATTAATTGACACTGGGTCGACGTACGGTTATTACATTATGTTAGATTTGTATTTAAAATAAAATAAAAATAAAATGTAAAATAAAATAACTAGAGGTAAAATAATAAATTGATAGTAAAGAAAATACTGATATTCATAAATATTACAATAATTAATAAAACATATATAAATTAGAAACTCCTATAGATACATATGGATATTACATACTGTATTCATATATTTTATTTACGTAAATTTATGATAAAGATTACGGTTTAATTAGGTTTTCTGTACTATCATAGCTCAGAGTAAGTAACCATTTTGATATGGTTCTTTTAGCTTCCACCACTGATTTTTCTTTTATATCGCAATACTTAAAGATGGAGTTGTACACTTGAGTTCTCACGAATTGCCCAAAATGTTTAGACAAAGCAGAGTTGATAGCAGGAGTTGGCAAGCGGAATACTCTTCGTTTCAACAATGTCTTATACTCTGGAGATGCCAGAGTACACTTATGAACAGTTAGGGAGGTGTTCAATATGAAAAGTTGTCTTACATTTAATAGTCCACTGTCCTTATAGAAATCAAAAGTTGAATATCTATACGGCTTTTTTAACGTTATTTTTATAACCGAACGTTGCGCTCTCTCAACTCTGATCAGGAAAGTTTTTGCTGCACTTCCCCAGCAAGTAATACAGTAAGTTATAAGCGACTGGCATAACGCAAAATACACAGATCTTAGAGTATTTAAGCCTGTTATGTCCCGCAGATGCTTTACAACACCAATAACCTTCCTGACTCGAGCAGAAAGAGCTATTATGTGATTTTCAAATGTCAGTTTATCATCAACGAGGACACAGAGATATTTAATTACATCGAATCTACTCAAGGTCTCACAGGCACACGAATTGCTTGTGCAAGAAGGCTGATGAATCTTAACCACTGTTTGTTGTACTGGCGCAGTGACTGCAGTCTTATGAAAGCATAGGTACACATTCTTCTCGGTATTTAGGGTCAAGAGATTATTTTGTAGCCAACTAAAGACCTGTCTTAGACCTCTTTCAGCGCTGTACAAAACATCGTTTCACGTTGAGCCGTGGAATACGATAGCAGTATCATCGGTGTAACATATCGTTTGGGCGTTTTCCACGGGTAGGTCATGCATATCATTGATATAGACAGTGAATAACGTAGTACCAAGTATGCTTTCCTGCGGTACACCAAAAGGTACATTTTGTGGTAGACTCACAGCCCGACCAATCCTCACACACTATTTCCGGTCCGTGAGATAGCTCTAAAACCAATTACCGGCAATACAACACCCATATAGTTTAACTTTTTTTAAAGTAGTAGAATAAGTAATTTATTGTGCTGGTTTATGATTACATTATTAAATTGGATTAGGATTACGAACACGTAATTGCAACAGCACATTTATCACGTTATGCGATATGCATCGATCACTAATAAAAAAACTAGATACACAATCTCATGCTGTCTCCAATTGTTTTGACGTAATTTAGATTCTAGTTGAAATCAAATGCTTTGCCTAAATTTGTATTCACAAAGCTACGTAAAAATTAAAAGCGCACCCAAATGTTCCAGTGGCCGCTCATTCGGTTAGGACATTTTTGTCACTTATTGTGTATCTAGGTTTTACTAATGACTGATGGCGACATAGTACTTCCATATATATATCGG